GAACAAAATAAAGGATAATAGATGACAGTTTTAAAAAAATGTTGTAATATGACTTCAGCTAATGCTTTTTAGACAACCCTCGCCAATTTTAATAAATTCTCTCTAATTCAGCAAACGATTCCCCCAGTGTTCATTCATTGACCAGTTTTATTTAAATAAAAGAGGTCATATAACATGGCGCAGACGCCTTGCATCAGTATTGCAGATGCCAGTCGTTAATCGCTTAGTCTACGAAAGCTCATCCCATATTTACCCGCTTTGGCCTTATCTGCACCTTGATTTGCGAATCAAGGGTTGCAATCTGGGGTTAAACTGCCTAAAGTCGGCCTTGTCTTCGGACATTCACATACTTGTTTTGATAAAATCCATTAGGTCAAACCATATTCAGAACTGGAACGGTTAGAAAGTGATTAAAATATTATTTTCCTTCATTCTAGGTACATTTTGGGGACCCATGCAACCACATCAACCCAATCGTCTGATGTCCAAGAGATATTGCAGTATAGCCCACAATGTGCATTCATTAATCAAAGGCATTTTTGAAATTTTAATGGATTTATCAAGTTTGTTACCTAACCATAAGCATGGTCGCTCACATCGGTGTACACAACAGACCACTCATTTGACTTTGGGATATTGAGCCTTAGTTCGCATTTATGTATGCTGAGCGACCTAACCAATCGTCACAAGTCGTCATTTCCGATTACCTTGCAGTTGATGCATCAGAGTACCTCTGAACGGTGTCCTTGTATCACCTCAGCCATCAGCAGTGGCGATGAAGCAATTTGAAAGTGATTGTGTTCTAAATAACAAGCGGTAAATTCACTGTGAATGAAAAATTTGCTGCATGTACGTGAGAATATATTGGCTCCCACTACACCTAGTAGCAAGAATTCTGTTTATTTCAACTTTGACCCTTCACAGTGTGAGCACGCACACAACGGGGGCAAATGGAGCGTCCTCGTTTTGTGTGAATCCTCTGCATCTATGACGTCTAATATACAAGTAGGACTCCGCACTAAGGTGTCTACCTTTCCATAGACTTTGTTCGTCACTTTAGGAGGTCAGTTCTTGCTGCTTTTACAAGAGACCTGTGCATTGAGACCGATATCTCGTCCTCCTCACCACCTAACTTTTTAAATACGACATGCCTTTAGTGTATTTCTCTAACCCTCGAATAGGCTTGAAGACACACTGCACGTAGAATTTTAAGGCTGATTGCAGTGACTCACAGTAAAGCAAAAAAAGAAGAGACGTCTCATTATGTAAGTGCAGTTAAGGAGGAATGTCACGGAATGCCTCGGGAGACCACCTCGAACTTGTACTCCTCGTCAATATTGATGTTTAAGTACTTGCAGCTGACTGTAATCGAAACGTTTTTCTCCATGTTTGGGAAGGTAACGGCAAGCAAGGGCGACTGGTAGTCTGCTTGATTGAGGTAGGGAAACGCGACTGTGGAGAAGTATCCACTATAATTTACCGCAAAACACTCAAATGCTGAAAGTGAGAAGGAGGACTAAAACGGTCTTATGTACTTACACTGTTTGCTTTTCGTAACGAGTGTTAGGATAGAATGAAGCCGACCCTAATTCACGACTCCTTTCTTCGTCCTTAAAAAGGAAAATATAATAAGGATTTAAAAAGCTTAATATTTGTAATGACTTTTACAACTTACAGTGGCCTGGCAGGAGACGTAAATTTTATTTTCGGTCACATCAGGGAGGTATCCAAAGATCTGAATGTTGATACTCATCATAATATTAATTCCACCTCATTACCTTGTTCATTTTTAGATAAATACACAGCCCTTGACCAAAATTAGGATTGCCTCCACAAGGTCCTAGAAGACGGAGGGGGAATTTACAAGCGTCATATAAATTTCCAAGAAGACGTGTCCCTGTTGTGAAATCACAATTCTTGGTCCTTTCGCCATACCCTGCCAAATGTTTTCGCATAAGTTCGTCATATTTGGCCTTATTGTCTACGTCGTATACAGGAAAGGGTGCCAATGTTCCCTTGACGTCAACAACCGGTAAAAATGTGAGCCCTAAAATTTATCAAGTCTTTAACATAGCAGCCTGAGGAAATTGTATAAACGAAAACTGATCTAACACTTATTAGAATTGTATCATGCTAAATAAATAACAGTAAAAACACAGACAGATACACGACAAAGAAAGTTGTAAGAAGTGATATAATATGATATAAATAAAATATTCACCTGGACTTAGATCCAACAAGCTTTGTCTGCCTGTGAGAGATGGTACTTTCTTGTCAATCACAACATTTGAAACGAAAAATATCAGGCCAATCAAAATTCCGAAAAGACAGGCGTAAAAAATTATATAATAAATGATTATTTTCGCTAAAAATGGAGCCAATTGACAAAACACAAACCCCAGCTAAGTGGCGTCCGATTTAAAAACGTTCCCTTTTCAGTGTTAAGAATAAAAAGGCCGAATTGGCGCAACCTCTGAGCCGATGTTACCTTAATTTCCCCAAAACTCTTCATCACAACACAGACAGCATCCAAAATCTGTAAATCTGCAGTGACTGAGGTCGTGCCTATCTACTGAATGGATCAATTTAAACATGCCAAATACCCGAAGTTATTAATAGTATACTTATGGTTTTTTAATTAATAAAAACATTTGCGTTACGCCAAAATAATTCTTACGATGACTTAAATATGCTGCCATTGTGCTACAAGCTGAAGCATGCTTGGACGGATTTTATTATGTAAATCCTTCGGACAGATTCCGATTCTGATCTTTGCATACGCCTACAATGCAAACTCATGGACAACTCTTTGCATACCGCGCCGATTCGCACAACCTTGCATTCCACGCCGCTGGCCCCCCGCCCTACAGACGTGAATCGAACCAACCTATTCAACCCTCCCCCGGCATACGTCTAGACACAGACACCACCCATCAGGTCCTGTTTATTCCATCGACACAAGAATTTGGCATGGATTTGTACAACAGAATTTGTAGATAAGCAACCGTTGCGATCACATACGGAAATAAGTTAAACGGACAAAGGACAAACAAACTCATGTTAAAACCTATTTACAAGAAACCATCCTTCATAATGTCACTGGGAATCTTGCGGCAGGGGTGATGTCAAGATGTGAGAAGCCTTATCTAAAAATGAACAAAAAAACACCTTTACACAGGGAGGACATAGCATACAACACAACACCACCTAAGGGGATCTCTGTAGCAAAGAACTGCCATTTGTTCACATCGTACGTGATAAGTGCCCACCATTGCGTCCCATTAGGGGTAGTAACAAGCTTCTCACCTACCCCTCAGAAGCTTAAGCTCCATTAATTATGGCGATTTGCTGGAAATTCAGCGATCTCTGCAATAACTTGCTTATTTTGGGTAATTAATCGTTGCGACTTTGCAGGACTGTAAGTGTATATGCCTCCATTCAATCCGTACATCAGAAGTACATCCTCTACTTTTAGTGTAATTACTTCTTTTGACTTCAAGGAAAGTTTAATCCCATGATGGTGACAGCATAAAGCAGACTCACATCTATGGGATGGGCGGATTGAATCTGCCGCGGACGGGAGAACGTGTGATGATCCCTACCAGAAGAGTTAGAAATGATATCTACATTAGACAACTATCCCAGTTCCTTGCCCTGCATTACTTGTATGATTAACTAGAGCCACTTCCCATCGGAACTATCGTGGTAACAAGAATTTAATTCACGTAGTAGTATGCGCAGTCATCACATATTCGTCAATGCTTTTAATGGTTTAATATTGACAAAATGACGCAGGTAAAATTTACCTTCAAGGGAAAGCATGGGATAGTTTTCCGCAGTAACGT